ATAGCTGGCCAATCACAGCTCACCTCGCTTTTTCAGACCGATGAGCTTTGTAAAAATTGACGCGTTTCAGAAAGGCGGGGCATAGAGGAGAATACAGTATATACAGTATGTGGTAAATAATGTGTTTTTTGAACCTTAAACCGCATAAACACATTTCATTACACCAAATACACAAAATAATGTTCTTTTTAGCAACATCATATGACCCCTTTAAACATTGTTGTGCTTCAAACTACAGTATATCCACCAGGTGGCGCAAGGAACAACATTCTGCAGTTAAACACCCAGACAAGATCTACGATGGCGATTACTGCCACGTAAAAAAAATACATAAATTCAGTAAAAAAACAAATAAATGTAGAAATAAGATTACGAGATTAAAATCATAATATTTTGAGAATAAAATCAAAATTACGAGAAAAAAAGTTGCAGCCATATTGTTGAGCATAAAGTCATAGCAATATGATATTTAAGTCATAATATTTTGAGAATAAAGGCGTAGCATTATGTACGACGGCGTTTTAGTGCCACATTAAAAAAATTATAGCTCATGTTTAAAATAATAATTATGATAATATTTTTTTTTTTTTAAACGAAAAATTACTAGAATAAAGTCGTAGCAATATGGGAATATAGTCAAAATATTTTGAGAATAAAGTCAAAATATGATAATTAAGTTGTAGCAAGATTAAAGTTATAATATTGTTAGAGTATTGTGCATGCAAATGGCCCGGATTGGGAGCCCCGGGAGAAATTCCGGTGGCCTGGCAACTTATTTGAATGTATGTTGGATTACTAGCAGAAATCATAGCATGTGTCATATACTCGCAGGGACAGTATGCTTGGAAATAATACTTCACATCTTCGATTGCATTTCAAAGCAATAACCTTTGTGCTTTTGGCACTTTTGATATAAAACAAAGCCTCAGCTTTCAAATTCTGTCAGTTTTATAGCGAAATACAAACAATATGTCTTACAATAATGAGTTTTGCATTCTCTTTAATGTGACGTGACAGATCGCTGTATTCGCCTCAGTTAAAGCGGCATGAGAATCAATCATCTTTTCGATTACAATGAGTACATTCGTTTCATTATACTGTTTTTTTTCATGCCTTCTGATGTATAACTTGTAATAAACAGGAAAAACACACAAAAAACATAAAACTGATTAACTGCGATCTATTGTGATTCAAGAATTGTTCTTCAATTTAAAAAAAAAGAGTAAGAGAAGGTAATATTGATAGTTATTCAGTTTACATTTTCATTTTATGTGCTATGTTGTACTTTTTTCTTTTATTGTATTTTACTGTGAGGGAATATAAAAATGATTTCAGTTTGTTTGGATTTTATGTGATTTTTTTAGCATTTAATTTAGTACTAGATTATTTTAATTTATTATTATTATTATTATAGTTGTGCTTCTATTGTATTGTATTGTATTGTGAGGGGGAAATAAAATATGATTTCAGTTTATATTTAGATTTTATGCTTTTTAGCATTGTTATTAAGATTACAGTTATTAAGATTACATTATTTTTATATAATAATAATAGTAATGTATTATTATTATTATTATTATTATTATTTTAATTATTAATAACAATATATTTTACAATATGAAAATGCAGATATAGTTTTACTTTTATGTGTTTTTAGCATTTTAATTTAGAATTTTAGTATACTAATAAGAATTTACAGTATTGTTATTACTATTACTATTATTTTGCAACATAAAAATTGCATTGTATTGTATTATTACAAGACATTTTGCGACATGAAAATGCAGGTTTGGTTAAACGTTTTTCTTTTATTTGCTAAAACATAATTTTGTCATATTCTCACAGGTTATCGTTACATCGGATTGAGAAATGAAAAGAATCAAGCGCTGACTCTTCCTGCTATATTTGTGTATATCGAGGTGAAAGACTATGTTCCTGATACATTCGCCGGTAAGAAATTAATTACTATAATCATCTGCCACCTGAAACAGCTTTAATTCTCTTTTAGGATCTGCCACTGTAAAAAAAACAAAACACTAAAAGTACCATAGTATTACTGTGGTGTGCTGTGAAATAACCTCTCAGTAGCAGTAGCATATGAATACCATGGTAAATATGAGTGAATCTTACAAACAGTCTGGATCAATTTCATAAATAACATCAAATATAACATTTTTGAATTTCGTGATGCTTTTGAAGTGGAAGCTGCAGGACTGGAGTGTGTTGTGAGTTTGCAGGGACTGGCTAACGGTGTGTGTTTCTGTGCTGATCAGATGTCATCGAAGCGCTGTCCAACCCCATCAGATACGTCAACCTGATGGAGCAGAGATCCAAACAGCTGGCGGCGCTCACTCTAGAGGAGGGAGAAGAGGAGAAAGACACCAAAGAGGTAGAGACGTCTCCAGATCTCCAGCGCTGAAGAGCTCAGATAGAATATGACCATCAGAAAGCAGCTCAGATTACTTCACTAATTACTCCATCTGAACTCTAATCACATCACTCGTTCATTTACTGATGAATGAAGTCGTTGTAATGAATTAGTAGTTTTTCATTTTGCAGAGCCGTCTGTCGCTGTGAAACTGAACAGTATTGGAGGTTTTGATGATGAAGTGTGTTGTCCTCCAGGTGGATCCTGGTGTTGAAAACCCTTCGGAGGTTAAAAGCGAACCCAAACCCGTCCCGGTTGAGAACGGCCTGAGTCACACGCCCAGCGCCGCTCCGAAACCCGCGTCCCAGATCAGCCCACAGCCGCAGTCCACAGGTCAGAGCTTCACACAGCATCATCTCAGCTGATACTGAGCTATAAACCCATACCGTCCACTGCTAATCCAAACCTACTGTCCACAAAACTGAGGAGTATTACTGGATATGCATGAATCATATCTGATGAGATTTTATCCCGTTGTGATTCAGGCTCAACCAAACCAGCGGCAAAGACTGAAGATCTGATTCAGAGCGTCCTCACAGGTCAGTGACCGAATGGCTTTTTATTACTCCCAACTTTCAAAGAGTTTTGATTCAGTAACATCACAATTTGAAATAACTTGTTTATTCTGTCATTTTATTTTAATATGTAGTAATATATCATTTTAATTTATATTATTAATTAAATTACATTGTATTATTATTATTTTTTACTTTTTTATATTAATTAATTTTGTAATAATACACATAGAATAAACAAACTATGACAACATAGTCAATTAAAATTAATTAAAATAAAAAAGAATACAGAACTATAATGCATTTTCTATACACATATACAGAAAAAAGAGGCTGAAACAAACCATGGCAGGTTATTTAAAAAATAACATTTTATTTTATTTTATTATACTTATTATGGCATTGTGTAATATATCATTTTGTTTGATATATAAAACAATATTATTTTGTTTTATACTACAGTATTATATACAATATATTATTATATACAATATTATTTGTTTGTTGATTTGTTTGTTGTTTTTTAAATGAATAACAATCTAAAATATTTTATATGAGTAATATATATATATATATATATAATTTAGATACATTATATTATATTATATTGTTTATATCAAATTATTGATATTATTTATATTAATATGTTAGGTGTGTGTGTGTGTGTGTATATAGCAATGTTATATAAAAATAACATGGCTATATTATATTATGGTAATATATTAAGTATGTATGTCTATATATATTAAATGTATGTTTCTGTGGACATAAACAAAAACAAAAAATTGAATAAACAAACCATGACAGCTTATTTTATATAAGATCAAAATATATTAAAATGCTAAAAATACAGAAACAAATAAAATATTGCATAATCCAGTCAAGTGTGCAATATAAATTATGTCTGTATCTTCAGATAAGCTGTATTTTGCTTATTTATTGTGAGAAATAAAACACACACACACAAACAGCCACAGGTTGTGTTTTATCAGGTAGCCGCTGAGTTTCAGTCATTTTGAATGCACTGTAAATTATTGAAACATTTCTGATGTACAGCTTCAGAAAATCCATCGACATGAGCTTCGGAAAAGGTTCATAAAATATGGAGGTGGTGGTGATATTATAATTTTACAGTCCATGAAACCTCTGTTTCAGAGATGGAGGCGCAGACCGTCGAGGAGCTCAAACAGCAGAAGGGCTTCGTCCGAGAGCAGAGACGACACTATAAAGAGATGAAGGACCTGGTGAAGAAACACCACAAGAAGACCACCGAGATGATCAAGGAGCACACGGCCAAATACAACGAGTTCCAGCACGACTACCTGCGCAAACGGGCCGTCCTGCTGAAGTCTGCCAAACGAGACGGTAAGAAGAGGTAGGTAGACGTCTGCTGATCCAATCACTGTTGGGATTGAGAGGAGGAACGTCAGGAGAACTGTTACTTTCCTTTATTGTCCACAAGTGAACATTTGTCTTTGGCTTCACAACACATTATAACAAGACCAATATACTAAAAGCACTTTAAAAGAATACAATAGACTCAACATTCCCCTTAGCATGCACATATGTGACCCTGGACCACAAAACCAGTCATAAGTGTCAATTTTTCAAAATTGAGATGTGTACGTCATCTGAAGCCCCTTATTGCTGATTGGCTACAAGTTTGTTTTGCGATTCGGCCCGAATCAGTTTTATAAAGTGTTTTTGAAAAATCACTTACTCTGCCTTTAAGACTGGTTTTGTGCTCCAGGGTCACATATACATATACATTCCCATATGTACATATATTTGCATACATATTAAACATTTTTAATTGCTCGGTTGTCTAAAACATCACCCTGATGGCAACAACTGAAACTGGCAGTGCAAGGGGTGTAGCGAATGCTTTATAAGAACTAAAGCTTTTAGTTTCACTTTAGCTGTATAAGTATGATTGACTTGTTTTGTGTGTGTCTCGTCAGGTGTTTGTCGTCCAGTCCTGAACACGGAGCCTCGTTCTTCGAGCAGGAGATTTTGTATCACTCCGCTTGTTCTAGCCGGGTCTATTTTTTTTTTTTTTTATTATTCACTGAGCTAATCGTAGAGTACGTTAGTTAATATAAGAAAAATATTTAAAGTTAATATACATAAAAAATAATTTAACCAAGTGTGCAATATTAAAGATGTGTGTACCTTGAGAGAGGCTGTATTTGACTTATTTTATGTGAGAAATCAGATCTAAATTATTTAAGCATTTCTGATGTCCAGCTTTAGAAAACATTTCATCGTTTGTTTTAAATGAATCGGTCAGAAAGACAGATGAATTGGTCTGAAGGTGAAATGCTGTGTCTGTAGGTGATCGAGAAGCTGACGGCCATCGCTGAGGAGAGTCAGAGCAACCAAATGAAGAAAATCAAGGAGCTGTGTGAGAAGTGAGTCAGTTATGAATATCACCAGCTTCTTTAATAATTCATAAGGTCATGTCGAGTCACCCTCGCTGTCCCGTCTGTGTTTGCAGAGAAAAGAAAGAGCTGAAAAAGAAAATGGACAAGAAGAGACAAGAGAAGATCAGTGAAGCCAAATCCAAGGAGAAACACCTGACAGAAGAGTAAGACTTCTTCTGCTCATCATCATGCTTATTTTGTGTACCAAATGATGTTTTGGTTTTAGATGAGTATTGTTACGGGGCGAACGAGACATGAGACTTGCGGATCCATTTGCAAAGCTTTAATAGGAGACAGAGACGTGGTCATAAAACAGGCATGGGTCAGACATCTGGTGGCGATTGAACGGAAGTCCATGGACCGGATTCGTGACAATTATATTGAAGCATATTCGGACTCTAAACCATATTAAAATACTTATGGTAAATACAAAAAAAAACAAGATAAACAGGCAAAAATCAGGTACCAGGAAATCAGAAAACACGGCGAGACTAGACTCTAGACTAAGACTAGAACTAGAAACTAACACAGGGAAAAGGCTCCTTAAAGTAGCTATCACACGATGAGCAATAAGCGCTAAACAATACTCGGCAGTTTGAAAAGGACCTGAGTGGGTGTTATATAGTGAATGTGTGATTGGTTACAGCTGTGTGCAATCAGTGCAATGGATGATGGGATATGTAGTCCGGGATGACATGCAACAGTTTGTGTAGTGCGAGAGTCAATGTAACGGAAGAGTGACCTCTGGTGGCGATTGAACGGAAGTCCATGGACCGGATTCGTGACAAGTATATTGAAGCATATTCGGACTCTAAACCATATTAAAATACTTATGGTAAATACAAAAAAAAACACTACTGGTAAACTACATTTGATAATAATATTAATTGGTAATACAAATAATGTAAATATAAAGATTTATAAAGAATTTTACATGTTTGTGTGAATTTGTCCATTCAAGCACAATACTTCAAAGAGAGCTTAATATTTGCGCATGTTCTGAGACGCAGGTTCACGCGCTTCGGATGAGCACACACACAGATCTTCTCACTGCGCACGCGAGTTCACATCTTCTGGCTCTTTAATATTTAAACTGGCAAGGCTTAAAGGGGTCATATGATGCGATTTCATTTTTTCCTTTCTCTTTAGAGTGTTA